GCATTCGCAGTGTTGCGTGACCACCATCTCGGTCTGATTCCAAGATATTCTCATTCCCCCAGAAGGAAACCCTGTTACCCATGAAGCTGTCACTCCCCATTCTTCCCTGCCCCTCGCCCCCAGCAGCCGCTGGCGTACTGCCGTGTCCATGTATCGGCCTATTCTGGACGTTTCACGTAAGTGGAAATCCGACAGTACGTGGCCTTGGGGGTCCAGCTTTTTCACTTACGATGTTCCCGACATTCATCCCTGTGGTATCGCGCATCAGGACTTCCTTTCTTACAGCTAATATTCCATTGTATGGATGTGCCGCATCGTGTTCGTCCATTCATCAGCCCCTGGACGTTAGACGTGCTCTGCCTTTTGGCTTTGTGAGTAGCGCTTCCAGGAACGTTTGTGTCCAGGGTATTTTTGCACATCGGGTTTCCACTCTTTGGGGTACGTACCCGGGAGGGGAATTGCTGGGTCATACGGTAACTCTGCGTGTACCACCTTCCACAGCCCCTGTAGATCTTACGCTCCTACCCGCAGCGCACAAGGCTTCCAGTTTCTCCACATCCTCACCGATACCTGTTGTTTTCCATTCTGTACAGTTTGGGGTGGTTTTTTTGTCTTTTTATGGCCAACCAAGTAGGTGCGTCAAGAGCAGTTTCCAGCTCAGATGCGGCTCAGCGAGCATCGGAACGTTCCCAACACCGAGTTTCTGTAAATTAAGTAACACTATGTTAGAGGGTCGACAGCAGCATTGAAGAAGTCGCTGTACATGACAACGTGCAGTGCTGGGGACGCCTTTACTTGACATGGAGGCCCACCCTTGGTGCCTTTCGCCCAGGACTTCACGTGTTCACCGTGGGGAAGGACCAGGGGCTTTTCCTGAACCCAGTGTAAGACGCAATAAAAATAAACCTCTAGACCTTGCATTCTGAGTGGGGGCTGTATCCCCCAAAAGGAACAAACACTGCTTCTCAGAGCAGGGGCGAAAACGTCTTACTCTTTTTGTGTTAAGCACAAATCTACGCCAATACCCTAAATAGATACGCGGTGTATCTACAATATTAAAATTTTGTAGGAGAAGAGGTCAGTAGAGGGAAGCATTTCAAAAAGGATGGGCCAGTCATGAAAAAAGAAGAAAAAAAAAAAAAACTGGTTCAGAAACAATCACATTGTTTTAAGAGTCCGGGTTTTTTTAGTATCAGACTGAGCAAGAGGTTAGAAGTTCCTACACGCCGTCTCCCGGGGTCTGTAGTCATCTCATCGGGAAGCGTTTGCAGACAGGCTCCAGTCCTCAGTCCACATTTCGGTAGCGCTGTGCTAACACATCACTGCATTTTGATCTGGAGTTATCGTACCTCTTTGGGTATCTATCCACTTGATCGTGTTCGGTCTCCTCCCTGGACGTAAGTAAGCATCAGCCTCTTACTTCCCGCCATACCCACAACGGCACCTGACACAGGGATGCTTGGTTGGTCACTAGGACGTGTGTTGTTGACTAAACGGGTGAGTCTCCTTTTGAAATTGTTCTGCTGATGTGGTGGTTGTGGTCTGCAAATGTGGCAGGGGTCCAGGCTCCTTACGTCTTGATGCTCAGCCGTGCGATCCAGGAAGACCCTCCTTTGCAGGGAAAGGGAGGCCCCGCCCCTGCCCTTGAAGGGCACAATCAGGAAGTCGCACACATAAACTTGCTCCCCTCCCCTTGCCTAGAGCGCATCACATGGCCATGCCATCCACAAGGGAAGCTGGGAAAGGCAGTGTTTTATTCTAATCGGCCGTGTGCCCGGCTTCAAAGCGGAGACAGAAGGGGTGAATGGATATTGGGGGACCCCCGGCGGGACCCGCCACCATCACCTTAAGACAGGATGTTTTCCTCGCCTTCCCCAACCCTCCCGTGGGCACCCCGCCAACCAGATGGAGGCATGAAGCCGGGGTTTTAACATCCCAGCTCGAGGTGGGTCCATTTGGAAAACCCCCGCAGAGACCACATATTGTGGCACGAGATTTCGGGGGCCGCGTGGCCCGTCCTCCCGGGTCGCGTCAGGCATGGGATGGACTTCTCCCTGCAGGGGCTCTGGGGGTGCCCTTGGCACAGCACGCGTTGTCCGGGCATCCGTGCTCCAGATGCCCCTGGGTCACAAAATGAGAACAAACACGAGGCCATTTGGGAAAAAGGATACTGACGGACAAGATGGAGGAGTGGGTGGCCTGTTTGTTTTCAGACCCTCCCTCAGTCGTCATTAGGTTGCCACATCAGAAGAGAAAACGCTGTGGCAGCCAGGCGACTTCCTAGGGCAGGTGCGTTGCTCAGTTCAGCAGGTAGGGTCACCAAGGTAACCACAACCCAAAAGTGGCTTCGAATGGAAGAGGCCGGCCTAGATCTTCTGCTGGCCACGCCTGGACAGGCCACGGAGGACAGAATGGGATGCCAGCGTGCCACGCTGTGGTGGACAGGTTCTGCGGTTTCTGGCCGTGGGACGGGTCCCCCACGTCGCGGAGACTGGGAGAGGAGGCCCAGCTGTGGCCGTGTTCCTGTCCTCGCTCTCCTCACCTGGCTGCTCCAGCTCCTCCTGCAGAGATTAGTGTAGGTGCCACTTCCTCCAGGAAGCCTTCCTGGCCCCGCCGCTCCCCAGCAGGCGTTCCAGAGCGCTTGCCGCCCCCCAGTGCATGTTCTTCTCACCCCTGCATATGAATATGGTTTATTTTGTAGATTTCACTTTGGAGCCGTTTCAATATTTGGTATAAAAACAGTTCCTAAAACGTGATAGCAAACTGTTAGAGACCCAACTGCGTGCGGAATTGGTGGCATAACCATACAGAGAGGAGAATTTATTTACCCATAGTTTTGCTTTTTTCTTCTTTTCTTTCTTCCTGATGTTTCAAGATTCCTTTTTTTTTTTTTTAGTTCCTTTTTTTTAAAATTTCCTGTCTGTTTCAAGAACTGCTCGTACCCATCTTTTCAGAGTGTATCTGCTGTGACAGGCTTTCTTAGTTTTCCTTCATCCTATTCCAATTTACTTTAAAAATCATCCAACTGAAAAAAAGAAAAAGGGGCACCTGGGTGGCTGAGTTGGTTGAGCATCTGACTCCCGATTTTGGCTCAGGTTATGATCCTAGGGTCGTGGGATCAAGCCCCAAGTCAGGCTCTACACTAGGCATGGAACCCGCGTGGGATGCTCAGTCTCTCTCTCTTTTTTTTCTCTCTCCCTCTCTATCTGTCTCTTTCTAGCTCTGTCTCTTTCTCTCTCCCTCCTCTCCCCAGCTCATGCTCCCACTCTCTCTCTAAATTAAAAAATGAATCATCCAACTCACCCCGTGGAGGAATTCTAGAGTATATAAGTTGTATCCCCAACAAAACAGTTTGCGAAAGAAGCAACAGCACAGAGTGATGTTGAAAACTCGGGTCAGGGAGCACCTGGGTGGCTCAGGCAGTTAATCATCCAACTTCGGCTCAGGTCATGATCCCGCATTTCATGGGTTCGAGCCCCGCGTCAGGCTCTGTGCTGACGGCTCGGAGCCTGGAGCCTGCTTCCGGTTCTGTGTCTCCCTCTCTCTCTGCCCCTCCCCCGATCATGCTCTGTCTCTCTCTGTCCCAAAAATAAATAAACGTTAAAAAAAAATTTTTTTAAATGATAGCCCACTCACTCACTAAATAGCACTTTCTAGTCATATCATCTTTAGTCCCATTTTACAGATGGGGCAAGTGATGCTCCAAGAGCCACTGTCATTTCATTTATTTATTCAATTTACCACCATTCAGTGTATTTATTTACCACCTCGCACCCGTTACAAGGGCTGCTATCAAAAAAACACAAAAAAGAAGTGTCGAGAAGGATGTGGAGGATTTGGAACCCTGGGCGCTGTTAGTGGGAATGTAAAATGGCGGACCTGCTATGGAAGACAGCAGTAGGTTCCTCAAAAAATAAGCAGTCAGATCGCCATATGACCCAGTAATTCCACTTGTTTTTAATGTTTCTTTATTTATTTTTAAAATCTTTTATGGTTTATTTATTTCGAGAGAGAGAGAGCAAGCGTGAGTGGAGGAGGAGCAGAGAGAGAGGGCTAGAGAGAGAGCCTCAAGCATCTCCCTGATGGGGGGCTCGAACTCACGAACCGTGAGATCGTGACCTGAGCGGAAGTCAGACCCTAAACTGACCAAGCCACCCAGGTGCCCCAGAATGTTTATTTATTTTTGAGAGAGAGAGAGACAGAGAGACAGAGCGTGAGTGCGGGAGGGGCCTGGGCGTGTAACGAAAGAACTGAAAGCGGGGTCTGAAAGAGGCATTTGTACGCCTGTGTCCTTAGCAGCATTATTGACAACAGCCAAAAAGCGGAAGCGATCCACGTGTCCACCGACAGATACATGGAAAAACGACATGTGGTGTATCTGTGCGATGGGATGTTATCCGGCCTCAAAAAGGAAGGAAGTTCTGACACCTGCCACAGCACGGACGAACGTTGAAGACGTTACGTTACGTGAACTAAGCTATTTACAAAAGTACAAATCCTAGGTGTTTCTGTCTACATGAGGTTTCCAGAGCAGTCACATTCATGGAGAAAGCAGAGGGATGGGTGCCGGGAGCTGAGGGAGGGGAGGATCGCGAGATGAGAAACGTTCTGGGGACGGATGGTGGGGAAGGTCGCATGACCGTGTGAATGTGCTTCATGCCAGTGAACCGTAGGCTTGGAAAATAGTTGAAACGGTCAGTGTTAGGTTATGTACGTTTACCGCAATGTTCTAAGTAAGTCTCTTTAACCGCAGTTGTGAAGAACAAGAATCTGTACTCTGTGTGCTATCTTACTCGTTGCTCACCGCAGTCCTTTGATGAAGGAGTTACTGTACTCGTCAGTCGACAGAACAGAGCGGCAGAGAGATTTGGTGTACTGCCAAGGTCATGGCTCCGTCCCAGCCTGTCCGCCCTCAAACCACCCGTCTGCCAAATCTTTCTCCTCCCCGTCCCTCTCGGACTGCAAGAAACCTCACCTGTACCCATTCCTCCAACCTGCAGGCACAGCGGGGATCTATCAAGGAGCAAACGGGCTGACCAACGCGGCTGGATTCGGAAGTGTGCACCAGGTAGATGTCGCTCGCCACCACTCGTTTTCCTTATTCTTTCCTTAAATCGCCCCCTTAACTCAGGGCATCCCAAGAGCCCACTCCTGCCCACCACCCCTGCCAGAAATGCAGTCTCTTACTCCCTGGGTTTGAAGACCACAGGAGTCAGGCTGTGCCAAAGGCCATCGGAAAGGTAACAGCGTAGAGACAGAGAAATTGGAATTATCAGCAGATTTCCAAGATGACATAGGCGATATTGTATACTCCCCCTTGACCTGAGCCCGAGACGTCCATTGACTGTTGAATCTCGAACCTGTGAATGCAAACACATGTGCTCCCCTGCCAAACGTGACCTCCTCTAGCATGAGAACCCCTTGTCTTTGGTTCTGCATTCCGGTGCCGAGTGCCCGGCACACAGTGGGGGCTTTATAAATGCTCGTTAAACCACACCAGGCCAACCCTGTAAAGGTGGACGCTGGCTAATAGTTTGATTGTCCCGGCTTCACTTAGAGAGTAAATTAAGCGTTAACCGGCTAAGGGTGTATGGGAAGTCTGTGTCCCGCTTGTACACCTCTTCTATAAATCTAAAATTATTTCAGAACCAAAGGCGAGCATGTTTTAGGTGGGCTATGGAATATTTGACGTATTTAAATACGAGGAACGCACTGTTTCTTCTTCAGTGAGCTAAAGAATCTAAATGGTGTAAACCTTGGAAGATTTGAAAATTTGTTTCACACATCTCTTATATTATTTCCGGGGTACTATCTCCATGGATAAAACACTTGTTAAGTAAAAGCCCTTTTTAAAAAGGTGTGGTTCTTCACCAGTAGGAGCTTGTCAAAGACGGAGATTCTCTAAATGCCACCCCCCAGAAATTCTGATTCTGTAGGGCTGAGGTACGGCCCAAGAAGCCAAACTACCCGTGAGTCCCCGCAGGGTTGAGAAGGCTCGGTTTATGGTGATGGTGGGGCAGAACATTTGGAACAATGACTACCGTGGGAGAGCTGGAATGTCCGGTTGGTTTAAGCAAAGCTTGATAAAAAGGGGATTGGCACTCTTTTATTTGATGTCCCCGACTTCCTCAGAAGATTCTGGATCCCTGATGCTGTATAAGTGCTGCTGTATTTGTACCCCTCATGAACATGTCACCTGGTCTCCTGGGTATGTGTGTAGGGTCTTTGTCCCTCATTCATTGGTTCGTTAATTTGTCTCGTATTTACCGAATCCCCCTATGTGTCCAGCACTGTGCCATGTGCGAGGGATAAGCAGTGATCAAGACAGATACTAACAGAGCCGCACCCACGTCCCTTAGGGTGCACCTGCTGACCTCCACATGGCAGCCGTGGCAGCCCTAGGGTGGAGGGTGTCCCCAAGAACCAGTGACTAGGGCAGGAGGGAAGTGCCGGGAACCCCCAATCATTTTCCCAAAAAATTGCACTTGCGGCCTCGTCTTGGGGGTCTGCATCTGGGGAAAGTCCCTGTCCTCACAGAGCTTTTATTCTAGTGGGAGAGACGGGGACAGACACAATAGACCCCCCCCCACACACACACACACACAAGGCCCCTCACCACTGGCCTCCTCACTCACAGCCTCATGTGTTTCCCTTTCTAGGACTATCCTTCCTACCCTGGCTTCCCTCAGGGCCAGTATTCCCAGTATTACAGCTCGTCCTACAGCCCTCCTTATGTCCCGGCCAGCAGCATCGGCCCTTCCCCACTGTCCACGTCTACCTACGTCCTCCAGGAGACACCGCACAGCGCCCCCAGTCAGAGTTCCGAGTTGCTTGGCGGTAAGTGCCGTCGCTGTCTCAGGGTCATCGGTGGCTGTGATCTGAGCTTTCATATGAAGGGCGGACTGGACATAGGTCCCAGCTGTAATGAGCTGTGATGAACTCACCCAACAGCTAAATCCAGCCCTCACATATATTTTGTTGACTGGAATTTTTAAAAAAATTCTTTAAGAAGGAATTTTTAGATGTATGTCATCAAGATGTACGGGGATGTGCGTGCGTGTGTGTGTGTGTGTGTGTGTGTGTGTGTGTGTGCGCGTGTGCGTGTGTGTTTCATTCCACCCATGTTTAAAATTTTATCTGAAAATCTCTTGAAAGCAGATCTGAACCTGTTTGCTTAGGTCTACATTCCTAAGTGACAACAGTTCGCAGTTGTCTGTAATGTCTGCCCCATCAGACAGGGCGTGCACAATTCCACATCTGGCCACTTTCCTTCAAGTTCATTACCTGCCTGGCCCAGGGAGGCACTGGAGTTGGTGAGCCCTGGTCCTCAAAGAAGGGAAACTAGTATTTGTTGCCCGTCCATGATGTGCCAAGCACACATCTGCGTGGTCTTCTCATTTCACTTATTTATATGCTGATTCAACAAATATTTATAAAGTACGTGCTATTTTCTAGGTGCTCTTTAGTTTAGAAAGTAAAATAAAGTGCAACGTAGACTTCTTGATGTTTTCAGGCAGGAATCAAATAATCACATAAATACACAATTACAAACTGTGGTAAGGAAACTCACACTCCCTACGAAAACCGGTTTTCAGTCACCTCCTCTTTGCCAGCTAAGAACAATGAAGATCAGGGTGATCAGTAACTTGCTAGTAATTAGCAGAGCTGGGATTTGAACCCAGGCCTGCTGGGCTCCGTAACCAGTGCCCCTGGATACTCAGTAGCCACACGTAGCTGAGATTGTGTTCTCTAAAACCCATCTGAGAACAGAAGGGCAGCGGCCTTCAAACCTTGGTTCTCTCTCATCGAGAATTCTAGAATGTTTTAAAAAATCCTCATATGTGTGCCTTTCCAATAGCATAACAGTCTTATTGGAATCCCTTTTACTGGTCAGGATGTTTTGGCTTCAAAAGATAGAGAATGCAATGCAAACTAGTTTAAGCAAAAAAAGGAATTTTTAGGTGTATGTCATCAAGATGTACAGGGATTCGGGGCTGGGTCCAGGGGTTCAGATGATAATGTTGGGACTCAGTCTCTTTGTTCCTCTGGCTCTGCATTTTCCTGGGTTCATTTCACCCTCAAGCAGGCCTTCCCATTATGGTGGCAAAGATGGTCACCAGCTGCTCCAGGGTTCAGTCCTGCCTTCTTATCTACCCCTCAGAGAGAGTTCCTCCTTCCTAACAGCTCCTACCAGAGGTCCCAGGTAATGCCCCCGTTGGCCCAGCTTAGGTCACATACCTGTCCTCACACCAGTTTCCGTGACAGTGGACGGAATGCTGGATGGGACAGCAGACTTGGGTCTCGTGCCCACAGCTGGAGCTAGGGTTGGGTCATCCCCACCCAGGCCACGTGGACTGAGTGAGGGAGAGGTGGTCTCCCAAGGAAACCCAGAGCCCATTCCCCAGAGGAAGACGGGAGAGACACGGGGTGGGCCAAAGTGACAGGTGTCCCCTACCTATGGAACCCACCTAGATTAGGAGCAACGTGTGGGAGAGTCCATGTGCTGGCCCTTGGGTGATGTACGTCCCTGTACAACTCACTCACCACTCTGTTGATTCCTTTGTTCCTTCCATAGATCTATGCACATATCTTCTCTTTCATGCAGTGGTTCAGGCATACTATCATTAAATGACATGACAGCAAGTGAATTAGAATGTCCAAGTGTGAAGAAGAGGTCATTGCGCTTTGTTCGCTTTTCTTTCCAGTGGGTTTTTCAGAACCCACTGATTTATCTGGCTTGTAGAAGCTGAGCTGGCACGACAGTGTGTGGACAGTCAACACATACTGGTTGATGTTTAGAACAAGAGCAAGAGTGGAGACTTCTTTTGTTCCTGGGGTTCTTGGTGCCGCTGTTGCTTTTAGCCCTTATATTTTCCATCCCTGGGGACACGTTAATTGTCCTTGGTTTGGCGACAACTAGAAACAACACAGCCAGGCATTTTTAAGTCAATTTTTAAGGAAGTTTAAGGCTGGAGAATTGATTTTGATCATTGTGATTTCATCGCAGAGTATTTAATGAATGCATAGTACCTATGTAACAAGTTCCAAATCGCTTTCTTCGAAGGGGATGAAATTTAGCAAACTTTTCTTGGTGGCCAAGAATGTGGCCACTGCAAACTGGCTGCAGAGAGGAAATATAAGCAGGAAATCCTCACGTAGACGCCACTACCTATGTATAATTTGGAACTGGATTCCAAAGACTGACTTCCCAAGAATTTGGGGTATGTGGGAAGGGTTATCTTTGTTCCCCCTCAAGAGCAAACATAAAGGTTCATTGTGTCTCTTTGAAATTTTTCTTCACTGTTTCCCCCTGTTCTTCATTTATCCTTTAGTCTAAGGTTCAACAATAAGTGCTTGAGATGGTTTTTACTGTGTGTCTAACAAGCTCACATAAAATCTAATGACATAAATAATCGTCAGCTATAACTGAGGTCTCTTGCCTCTTTTCCCCAGTGTCTGTTATAAAGGAAGGGCATGTAAGCAAGCATGTGTGCACATGCACACACGCACACACACATGCACTCTCTTAAAATTTCCCATAAAACCCCACTTTTGAAATTATCCAGGATCTCCTTGAGTGGTTGGCTCCAAATTCCAGAGCCTCAAGAGGTTTATATATTACCGATAGATCATGCTCGCTCTCTGCATTGCCTGGATACAGTATCCTGATGCTCTTCTCCACCCCTAGCCCCCAGCCCAGTTTTCACTGACATGTATTAACAGTCATAGGAAGTCCCGACAATTTACAGATGATTGCAGGGCAATTTGCTGGTGTAGAGGGCAAAACCTGAACATACGATGTTACTCAAGAGAAAAGACAAATTAGTAGTGGTTGCTTAAGGACTTTTTTCTTTTCAAACTTTTAAGTATAATGCAGATTATCTAAAAAGATAACTGGACAGACATTGGAGCTCCTGTCTCACAGGCCTTTGGACTCTAGGGCTTACACCAGTGGGGCCCAACCCCTCCAGAGTCCCCCTGCCCCTAGTTCTCAGGCCTTAAGCCTCAGACTGAATTATACCACTGACTTTCCTGGTTTTCCAGCTTGCAAACAACAGATTGTGGGACTTTGTGGCCTCTATAACTGCATGAGCCAGTTACTATCGTAAATCTCTTCATACACATACACACACACACACACACACACACACACACACACAAATGTATCCTGTTGGTTCTGTTTCTTGGGAGAACACTGACTAATACACCATGGGTCAAAGAAAAGAAAAGGAAAATTTAAAAGTATTTTGAATGTAACGAAAATGAAAACACAACATGTCCAAAATTCATAGACTGTCATTTAAAGCAGTATGTAAAGGGAAATTTATAGCACAAATGCTTGTGTTAGAGAAGAAGAAGAATTTCAAGCGAAACACCTCATCTTCCACCTTAAGAAACTAGAAAAAGAAGAGCAGATTATCCTCAAAGTAAAAAGAAGAAAGGAAACAATAAAGACCAGAATGGAAATCAATGAGATGCAAAAACAGAAGATAGATAGGCTGATACAGGAAAAAAGAGAGACGACACAAGTTGCTAATAAAACGAGAGCAGTGACATCTCTACAGACCCTACAGATATTAAAAGGATAGTAATGCAATTTTGTGAACAACATCATGCCAATAAATTCAACAACTTAGATGAAATGGACAAATTCCTCACAGGGCAAAAACTTCTAAAACCCCCTCAAGAAGAAATAGATGACCTAAACAGACCTATATTTTTAATAGACCTATATCTATTAAATAAACTGAATTTTTATTAGAAATCTTCCCACAAAGAAATCACCAGGTCCTGATGGCCTCACTGATTAAATCTACCAAACATTTAAGTAAGAAATACCAATTGTACGCCAATTTTTTAAGGAAATTGAAGAGGAAAGAATACTTTCTAACTTATTCTATGAGGTCAGCATTACCCTGATGCCAAAATTAGGCAAAGACATTATAAGGAAAGGAAACTATAGACCAATATCCCTCATAACAAAATTTCTAAACAAAATATTTAGCAAATCAAGTCCAACAATATACAAAATAAGGATAATACATTATGACCAAGTGGGATTTATCCCAAGGATGTACAGTTGGTTTAAAATATGAAAATCAATATAATTTGCCATATTAACTAACTGGAAAGAAAAAAAAAAGATATCTCAATAGATGCAGAGAAAGTATTTGACAAAATTTATCATCTGTTTCTGATAAAATTCCAAATTAGGAGTAGAAGGGAACTTTCTTTATTAGAAAAAGACATGCTATGGACTGAACGTTTGTGTCCCCCTCCAGATTCATATGTTGAAGTCCTATTCCCCAAGGTGATGGTATTTGGAGGTGGGGATCGTTGGGAGGTAATTAGGTCATGAGGATGGAGCCCTCATGTATGGGGTTAGCGCTATTATAAGAAGAGACACCCAGGGCGCCTGGGTGGCTCAGTCAGTTAAGCGTCCAACTTCGGCTCAGGTCATGATCTCAATGGTTCGTGAATTTGAGCCCCGTGTCGGGCTCTGAGCTAACAGCTCAGAGTCTGAAGCCTGCTTCAAATTCTGTGTCTCCCTCTCTCTCTGCCCCTCCCCTGCTCTCTGTCTGTCTCTATTTCTGTCAAAAATAAATAAACATTTGTTAAGAAATTTAAAAAAAGAGAGACACAAGAAAGATAACATCTCTCTTCTCCACCATATGTGGATACGGCAAGAAGGCAAGGAAACCAGAAAGAAGCTCTGACTAGGAACAAAATTGGCCAGTTGCTTGATCTTGGACTTCCCAGCCAACAGAAATGTGAGAAATAAATCTTTACTGTTTAAGCCATCCAGTCTGTGACATATTTGTCATAGCAGCCCAAAC